CTGTCTTTCAGTTTTCTCACCTAAAATGGAAAAGCAAAATTTCCTAAGCTAGTAGAGTACTTGTTCCATGGATGAACAACTATGATTCACCTTTCAGGGAAAATATAATAGATTGGATAGTGTTTTGGGTCCCCCCCACCCCCCGCAACCAGATGGTGGTTTAGGGTAATTTAAGAGAAAAGGACTAACGGTTAAAATTTTAGTACTGGTAGACATTTCCTGTCAAATAAATATATTCTTGATTCTGATATATGCAAGTAATAAAAACCAACTTCTGATTCATAGAGTTAGTTATCGAACTAAATTTTTAATGAATGCTCATTATGTTCAAGGTGTGTGTAAAAAACAAAACAAAATAAAACAAAACAATGGACCTTTAAAGCCACACAGACCCGTGTTCAAATTTTCATTGGCTTCACACCTTACAAGTTGAGAAACCGGTGAGACTCATAATGAAGATTTCTGACCTTCAGTGAATCCTCACAGATTCTGTGTGGAAAAACAGTGAGGAAAACAACAAGAAAATAAACTGAGTTAATGTATTGCTTCACAACAAGTAACCCCCAAATTTAGTAGGTTAAAATAACATCGGTTGATTATGCCACACAATTCTGAAAATTGTCTGTGTACTTCTAAGTGTTGACTGGTCTCTCCCCCTGGTATCTCTACCCTGGATGGTGCCCCAGGGTAGTGTTATGTGAGGCAGAAAGCTGAAAGTGCAGGGCCACATGATGCCTAGACTCAGGAACTTAAACCATGTTGCTGTGGCCATGTTTCATTGGCCACAAGTCTGGCCAATGAAAGTTAGGGCTGTGGAGAAGAGACTGGGCCTCTTCATGGGGATTGGGAGGGCTGTTGCAAAGTCACATTGCAAAGAGGTGTGTGCTGAGATGGGAGGAGTTTGTGATCACTAAACAAAATATAGTATCAAGATGTTTGTTTTAAAGATGCTGAAGAAGATGGTATCTATCAGCTGGTCTGGCAATTTGTTACAGATGCTCAACCTGTTTTAAGACCCTTCTTTTCTTCCCTTCAAGAACCGTTCAAAGTTGAATGTGAAGGTACAGTCCTAATGGAGCTTAGGTTTGGTGTCATTGTCTGTAATGCATATTTTAAAAGAGCACCTATAGCTGCCTGAAGCTACCAAAGTAGGCTTGTGTAACAGCCTTGTGTGATAGGGGAGCCTGGGGGCTCAGTCAGTTAAGTGTCTGCCTTCAGCTCAGGTCATGATTCCAGGGTCCTAAGATCCCTTGCTCAGCAGAGGGTCTGCTTCTCCCTCACCCTCTGCTCATGCTGTCTCTCTCTCTCTCTCGGGTAAATAAATAAAATCTTAAAACAAACAAACAAACAAACAAACAAACAAAAAACCCCAACCTTGTGTGATAGGATGTTCAGTTAAATTTGAATTTCAGATAAGTAATGAACAATTTTCCAATAAAAGTATGCCTTCCCTTGTTAACAGTTTTGCATATATTCTTCTAGAGCTTTCCTGTAAATATTCCAACATACACATGCAAATCTTTTTTTCCAACCTACACATATAAACCTTAAAAAATGAAATATTTACTTTTATTAGTTGCTCTTTTCCCTTTCTACTTATGTACATTTAGATCTAACTCATTCTTTTGAAAACTGCATATTGTTGCATGGCATGTGCACACCACAGTTTACTTATGTCAACGTTCACTGATGGCTGTGTTATTAGTAATCTTTCTTCATTACGGAAAGTGTCACTACATATATCCTTATAGACACATCTTTGTGTATTTCTGAAGTATAAAATCCTAGGATTGGCGCTGTGTTGAAACAGGATATGCCTTGAAACTGGAATGTTAAAATGCCTTCAAAAAGGGTATCATTTAAAATCATCACCAAAAGCATGTGAGAATTCCTATCTCTCTACCTTGCCAGCCATCATTATATTTTTTTAAGATTTTATTTATTTATTCATGAGAGACAGAGAGAGTCAGAGACATAGGCAGAGGGAGAAGCTGGCTCCCTGCAGGGAACCTGATGTGGGACTTGATCCCAGGACCTCAGGATCATGACCTGAACCAAAGGCAGACGCTCAACCACTGGGCCATCCAGGCATCTAAGCCATCAATATTTTAACCTTTGCTTATGTAACAGGAGGAATAATCCATTTTCATAGCAAGTAGAGAAACAAATTGGGAGATTTCCTTTAAAAGCACTGAAAAGAGGGAAAGTTATTTAATAAGCAGAAGAAAATAGATTGCTTCCTTTCAAAAGGAAATTCGATTTGTAGCTGTTTGAGAAAATAAATGCATGAAATTCAAACCCAACCCCTTGGGTCTGAATACTCAAGTCTAAGAACAGAAGCAGTTACACACAAGAATGGACTGGGAGAGCTGAACTGCATCCCTCATTACTAGCAATACGCCCTCATCTGACTTCTTCAATTTATCACCCATACCTTTAAACTTTCCCCACTGTGGAACACACTGTAGGCTTATCATAGTTTCCACTACCCCCTTCAGAACACCACTGCCTTTGTTCTGTTTCCTTTATGCCTCAGAAAGGAAAGGAGTGACCACCCAGAGTGAGGACCACAGACCAAAGATGATAATATGCCCTGATGCATTGGGCAAGTTTTCCCATGGTGCTCTTTCTTCTCACTGCGAAGGGACAGAGCTATTTTATTCCCCTCAACCATCCCCCACCCTGCCCCGTCCCCCCTTGGACTGTCCAGAGAGGATGGGAAATATTACTGTGCAAAAGCCCCAGCAACCCTCACTCCTGTCCAAATAAACCCGATCAAAACCAAGTCAAAGCTGAAACAACTTTCTTCAAGGGAAGAATGTGTATCTTAGAAACTACCCCTTAATGGCCTCCCAATTACTGGGACTCGTTAAGGTCTTAACACATTTAAAAAAAAAAAATGTTGTCATCCCCATTTTTCTCTGCTGAAAATTCAGCTGTTCCTTTCCATCCTGAAATCATTAGATTGACTTTAAAAGTTGGAGCAGTATCTTCAAACCATGTTGGGTCAGGAATCCAACATTTACAATGTCCAGGAGACATTACAAGGGAGATCTGACAAAGACGGCGACATTGGAGTTAAGAATGGGAAGAGGAAGAAAGGGATAAGGGAGGGCAACAAATGAGAAAGCATAACCTTGTTTCTATTGACGAGTGTTACCAATGGCGCCCCAGGTACTGTTTCATTTTTGATTGTTCCTCCTCCTACAAACTCAAACTCCTTGCAGACTGGACAATGTCTTATTCATCTTTGTTTTCCCAGCACCCAGCAGGATACCTGACAAACAGTCTGTGCTCAGGAAATATTTTTTGGCCTGAGTCAAGCCACACTAGACTATTACTGAACATTTTAAAGTTTAAATTTCAAAGCTAGTCTCTGGGCAGAGGTATGTTTGTGGCCAGGAGACTTCTATAGATAAGCCTTTAAGTTGATCAGGGAGTTTGTGAAAGATACAGATTCCTGGGCCCCACCCCAGAGATTCCAATCCCGATGGTCTGGGATGGGTGGGTGGGGCCCTGGGAATCTGCAGTTTTAACAGATGCCTCGGGTGCTTCGGATACAGCTTGGGAACCTAAGGCAGCTTGTAAACTAGCACATCGGATGCCATAAGCCCTGGAATTTCCCTGGTGTATCTTTGAATGGCCCTGGTAGTTTAGACTTTGTGCCTTGCCGCTTGATCAGAAAAGAACATCTGACCATACTAACGTGTAAATTTACCAAAGAAATTGCTAGAAGAGCGGTCACAGTGGACCAAGATTCCAAGAATCTCGGGTTTCAAATGTTCAGTCTTCTTGGTGGGTCTGCATATTTTTGAGAGCTTCAAGTGTCTAGTGCAGCGAGAAACCTAATGGGGGAGATATTTGGAGGAAAACCAATCGAGATGTGCTTACCTGCCTGAGGGGGCCTGCTGAACCTGTTAACTGCTCACAGATCCTTAGCCTTTAGAAGGAGATGGATCAAGGAGAGGAAAGGTTCTATGTGTTAACAGGAAAACAAAATGTCACTACACACATGAGGTGTTCAAGTTTCCTAATAAATGTTCATTAAAACTAGGCTGAGATAGGGGGGACAAAAACCTGTTAACCGAGTCTGCAAATGTGAGCTCACTGGGCAGAAATTCGTAATGGACTAAAAGGGTAGGTGCCCCTGGTCCGAGGTCAATAATCTGGGATGAACGGTGGGATCGTTAACCGCGACACTTGTAATTACAAGCGAGCATCGTCGCCTCTGCCCCCATACTGGGATCCACCCACAGTCAGGGACCGACCTGAATCAAGCCTGCCCAGCTAGAAGAACACATGGAAAATAACAGAAATCAGGAAAGCCCTTGCGTGGTACTTTATGGATTTCTTGGTTCAGTAGAAGCTCCGAGAGGAAGGTGGGTTTATTTGCCGCCATCGCCACCACACAGAGAAGTGAACTCTGGCCAGAGTGGTGGCGGGACCTACCCAGGAACCCGCAGACAGTAAAAGTGGTGCCGTAAGGGTCAACCTCTCCGGTCCTCCCCTGCCACAGGGACGCGACGAGAACAATACAACACCACCCAGATGCCTGTTGGGGACTCTCCTTGGCCCTCGCTATACCCCTTTCACTTCGGTGGGGTAGGCACGCACCTCCCTTCCACTCAGGAGGCAAATGAGGCGAAAAAGCGTCTTGACACACATCTACCGGGCAGTAACAGGCGGCGTGTGGAGGTGGAGCCCAGCCCCGGCTGCACAAGTCGGAGGCGCAGATACGGCTTGGCGAGCGGGGCCTGCAAGGCAAGGATGAGAGCCCGGCCCGCTGCGGAGCGCCGGCAGGTAGGCAGGGCGGCCCGGGGCTGGCGGGGCGGAAGGGCCTCAGGCCGGGCACCCAGGTGCGCCCAGGGGCCCCGGGCGGGGCGGGGCGGGGCGGGTGGGGCGGGTCGCGCCCGTATCTCGCTGGGATCTAGAATAGCTGGGACTTGCGTAACGCCGGCTCTCCAGTCCCCGCGTCCGCGCGCGATTATCATCTCTGCGATTTCTGCGATTTCGGCCAGCGAGGGGCAGGTCCCGCAGTCGCGGCCCCAGGAGCTGGAATGGGGCCAGCGCGGAGGTGGTGGCAGGGCGGAAACCTAACGGGGCGCGGGGTTCAGCGCAGGGCGGGGGGCGCGTCCCCGGAGAGGAGGCGGCTCGGCGGCTCGGCGTGAGCCCCGCGGGGAGGGCGGACGGCGCAGCCCCGAGCGGCGGGGGGCGCGTCCGGCCGGCGGGGACCGAGGCGGCGGAGCAGCGCCCCGCGCGGGAGTCCGGGAGCGATGAGAGTGCAGCTCAAGGTAAACGCCGGCGGCCGCCGGGGGTCCGAGCGGGGGTCCGAGCGGGGGTCCCGCCTCGCCCTCCCGAGGCAGCCGGACCTGGCCCGGCTCGCCCGTGCGCGGAGAAGGGTCGTTCGCTGCGCGCACCGCGGTAGCCGGCGCGTCTCGGTTCCCCCGGCTGCGAGGCGCGCCGACCCCCCGGAGCCGCACACCTGCCTTAGCGCGCCCGCTCCGCCGCGGACTAGGGCCCTGAGCAAGGAGCTAAAACCGCGTGCTTCTGCTGGCCCGTCCGGAAAGTGGGACAGTAACGTCTATAACTCCAAGATGAAAGCAGATGCCATCCACGCCGGGTACTTAGAAAGCAATGCCCAGCTGACCCGGCAGGAACCTGCGGCGTCTGGCCTCAGCCCTCCCTTCATCCCACCTCCCTGGTTTACGGGCGAGGAGAACGCAGCTCGGGGGGGGGGGGGGGCGGCGGAATAGGGCTTTGAACCCAGGGCAGTGCTTTGGGACACTAAGAATGCGGGTATTCCATCCGCACGGGGCATTTTGATCATTCCTTCCTAGGGACAAGGGGGTCACCCCTAACTGCCGAGGTGGGAGCCGGGTTCCTCCATTTCTTTCCCCGGTGTAAAGTTTTGATGTGAATTTTTCCATCTGCTTTGGTTTCTGCCATAACTGGGAAAGCATTAAATAATCTGGCTAGACTGACATTCGGGTTTGGCTGCAAGAATCTGGACATTTCTTACCCCCCCCCTCCTTTCCCCAGCCCCTATCTTCTAGGAATTATAAATCATTCCAGATGAAACTCCGCATGAGCCTGCTTTTGGGGGGCCAAAGTTAGGGACTAGTACTTTAGTATTAAGCTTGCCTTGATAGACAAGGGTGTGAATGGCACTGTGAGTTGATTGTACCCTGGCGGAGAAGGAAAAGATCCAGACAACACACTGGTGATTTGCCACAAATGTTGCTCTTACCTTGACTATTTACCATTTTCTGTCTTGGCTCATGGTTTTGGCAGGGCCTCCATGTCAGAACTAACTGTCAAGGGCTTGGTAAATATTGGACCTGAAATATGTCTCACCTCTTTTTCTTTCTCCCTGGATTTTTCAATCCTGGGTGTTCAGGATGGCTGAACAGCCCCCACACTCTGAGAGTGATTTTCATTACACTTCTGTAGACTCATTCCATGTTAGAACTCCCAAATGTCCATCCTCCCTGTAACTCAGTTATTTCTTCATGTCCCATCAGAAATCTACCAACTATTTCCTATTAAAAAAAAAAATCAGGGGCACCTGGGTGGCACAGTCAGTTAAGTGTCTGCCTTCAGCTCAGGTCGTGATCCTGGGGTCCTGGGATTAAGCCCGAAGTCAGGCTTCCTGCTCACTAGGGAGTCTACTTTTCCCTCTTCCCTCTGTGGCTCCCCCTTGCTCATGCCCCCCCCTCTCTCCCTCTCTCTCTCTCTCTCTCTCTCTCTCTGCCAAATAAGTAAATTAAAAATTAAGATCTTTAAAAGAAAATCATTCTTAGGTAAGATATTCTAATATGGGTCTTAGTTGTGCTTTTTTCCCCCTTTTTTACTTCCTAGTTTTATTGGTTGTATAATAGTCAACTTCAAATAATTCCATAAGATCTGTTACTAAAAACAGCAGAACCCTCAATCATTTCCAGCTTTTCTGAAAGAGCAATAACGTTCATCTCTTTAGCTTGTTGGTACTTACTCATGCCTCTAAAATAATACTTATGTGAGTCCTTCTTGATTTCTCAGGTGTAGCCATGCTTTACCTTTCCAGATGGGATATAAGGTTTAGATTTCCTTTGCATTCCTGCATCTGCCATTCACATGATCCTTCCTGTTCCTACCATCTACAGAATACAGTTATCCATAATTTTTAGTTAGGTCAATATTTAGTCTGGTCAACATTATTATGCCTTCCTACACATACACTATTAAAAGCTGAATTATGTAGTATATGATTACTCTTCCCTTCTAACTTTTGTTTTCCTCCAGGAGTGTCTGGTGTGTGTTTCCAGAATTTTCTATGGAGTTTTCACTAATTTAACTGACAAGTTTTTGCCAGTTGCCTAAATCTTCTCTCAAGATCATCCTGTGTAATACCCATTTTAACCAATTTTATTCTGAGTACAGCTTTCTGACCGGCATTGCCTATCCAGACTGATTGGTCTTGATGTTGGATGCACAGCTATTACTTTGGGCTCTGTCTTCAGTATCATCATGGGGATTTCCTTTCCCTCTGTTACACTGGTTCGTGTTTCTTATATCCCATGTCCTCGTGATTTTTTTCCATCATTTTGGTGGAATACCTTTTCCAGTTGCACTCTGAGAAAGGATGCACACAAAGTACGTTGAATTGATGTGTTGTTATGACAAATTATCCTTGCAGACTTTATTTTTCCTTAAAAAGGTTCTGCTAACAATGCAAAAATAATTTCTTGTGGTAAATAGTTCAAGCACTGTTAACAGAAATTCCAAGAGTTCCCTTTTTGTCCCTCATCCTCATCTCTTTCCAATCCAGAGGTTCAAAGTGTTGGATTTGGAACATTCAATCATTCTTTGGATTCATTCAGTCAACAGATATTTATGAATTTATGAGTGCCAACTAGGTGCTAAGACCTGTTCCAGAACTTAGGAATATATAGTGAACAAAACTTATTTTTGAGCTGGAGAGGAATGGTGTGATGCTTCTCGATGCTGGAATTGAGTTCACTGCAGCTTTGGTTAGCTTTTCTTCTGGAGTATTAACATCATATAATCAAGGCTCTCTTTGTCTCTGTCTCTTTTTCTTTCTCAGTATAAAATCATGACCACTACAAATTAAACTTCATAACTTGCCATTAGAGCAACATCATCATACCCCTGAGATGTAGAAATAGTTTTCTGAATGGATAAATGAAATGTGGTGTGTTTACATATACACATGTACTCACACACACAATGGAATATTTAGCCTTTAAAGAGGAAAGAAATCCTGACACATGCTACAACATGGATGGACCTTAAAGATGTTATGCTAATAGGCAATCATCAAAAGATGAATATTGTATGATTCCACATATATAAGTTATATAAAGTAGTCCAATTTGTAGAAAGAAAAAGTAGAGTGTAGGTTGTCAGAGGCTGGGAGGAGAGGGAAATGAGTTATTTAATGGGTGTAAAGTTTCAGATTTGCAGGATGAGAGTTCAGGAGATTGGTTGTACAGATGTGTGAATATGCTTAACAGTACTAACCTGCACACTTAAAAAAGTAGTCAAGATGGTAAATTCTATATTATGTGTATTTTGCCACAATTAAATAAGCAAACAGACAAGCAAAAAGAAACAAAATGCACATAAACTCCATAATGGGATTCTTCCTTGAATCTGATGAGGATGATTGAATCTACTTGCAGCTAGGTTCAGCTCCTGCCTGGAATCCAGGATTTTCAGGGTGTGTGCAAGGTGTAGCAATGGATTGCCCTGGGAACTTTCTTTTGATGCACTTAGCACCAGAAAGTTTGGCAGGTTCCATTGTTGGGGTGGCCTAATGCCGCTCTCCCTTTCTTTCCGTGGTATTTCCATATCTCTGGGGAAGAGGTCCTCGGTTATTTATAGTACAGATAAACTGAGACTATTTCAGAGTGCCATGACCAGTTATGCAGTGAGAAGTGGTAGTTTTGTTTGGCTTAGAGGTTACATTCTTTTTCTGAGTCTGCAAGCATGTGCCTCTTGAGAGCCTCCTGATCCATTTCCATTGGAAACGAAGATGTTGACTTGGTAGCACAGGCAGGTGCCTTCCCCAGCGCTGGTTTCCCTGCATTTTCCATGTCGGCGTTCCTTTACAATCCTTTTAGGAGTGATCCTGTGCTATATGCTGGATCCCTGTCTTGAAATGCTCCAGGACTGCATAGCGGTCCGGTATCCCAGGACTTGCTACGGTGCTGGGCGTGTTGACTGGAAAGATTGGCCTGGTGAATTTGGTTGTGCTTTGTTCTACCTCTCTCTAAGCTATATATGGCCAACATATAGAATTTTATTCCAGGGGCACCTGGGTGTCTCAGTTGGTTAAGCATCCAACTCTTGGTTTCAGCTCTGGTCATGATCTCAGGGTTGTGAGACCAAGCCCTGCATCACTAGGCCTGGAACCTGCTTGGGATTCCCTCTCTCTCCCTCTGCTCCCCCAGCTCCCCTAAAAAAACCAACCAAATAAACATAGAATTTTATTCCAGGCAAACTCAAAACCCAGTGGGATGAATGACTGGGCAACCAAAGTTCTCTCTGCATTTTGCTGATTGTAGATTCAGAGCTTCTAATAATGGTCATTTTTGATGTGAGCAAACTACCTGGTCCAGGGGTGGAAACATTCCTGTCAGAAACTTCTGTTTTCTGTAATAGGTGTGTGAGGTGACCTTGGAGAAAGTACACTTCCTTGGGATTTTATTCCCCTGCCATGTGTGCAAGATTAACATTCTTTTTATCTTTCCTAGTTTTGGAGTGTGTTGGGATATGGGCCAGGAGGGCCCCCTCAAATTGCCCATAGCAACTAAAGACACTTAGAGCTAGGCAAAACTTTCCTTGTGATTAGATTATAGAGCCTGATTATGACCATTTTGGAATGTCTGGCATGTTTTTTATCACTGGTTTTCCTTAGGTGTAATCAAAAAGGGACAGAATGTGGTAATTAATTCTCTAGAAGTATCAGCAGGAAGGTGAGAAGAGTAATAAAGGGAATAGTTGGAAAAAGTAGTTTTACTGCTGGCTGCATGCCCTTCTGCCTTAGGCAAGCTACCTCAGTTTCCTTAACAGTAAAGCAAATACCACTATTCATTGGCTACTTCCTTCCAAGAGCTATGAATGGGTTTTGAGGAAGCAGTTCCTTTGAAAATTCAATAAAAGACATGGATCAGGAGCTCAAAAACTCAAATTCAAAAACCAGGCCTGCTGGGGACTCAGGTTCACTGGTCAGTGTAAGCACTGAGTGAACATGGCTGCCCACAGTTGGCCCCAACTGACTGTTGGCCAA